TGAGAATTTATTTCAAAAACTGAAAGAACAATAACACAAAAACAAACAAAGTTACACTTTCATATGTACATTTTGTTTTTTCCTATTCTTTTCTTTTTATTCTTCTCTCATACATTACATTCCAACCGCAGCTTTCTCTCCATCCACTCCTCCCAGCACCCACCTCATTCCCTCAGAGCCACTTTGTCTCCATTTCCCTGCATAAAAGAACAGGCCTCCCAGGAATATCAACCCGCTGTGGAACAATGGTCTTATACCCTGAAAAGACTTGTCACTTCTGTTGGTTTAATAAAACACTGATTGGCCAGTAGCCAGGCAGAAAGTACAGGCAGGGCAACCAGAATAGGAGAATTCTGGGAGGAGGAAAGGCTCAGTCTGCAGTTGTCACCCAGACACAGAGGATGCAAGATGGGAATGCCTCACTGATGAAACGTACTAAGCCATGTAGCTAACACAGAAAAGAATTATGGGTTAAGATGTAAGTGCTAATATGAAAGCCTGAGCTAATAGGCCAACCAGTTTATAATTAATGTAGGCCTCTGTGCATTCCTTTGGGGCTGAACAGGCTGCAGGACTGGGCAGGACAGAAATCTCTGCCAAGATCAACCCAATGATGAATAATAAGATACAATAAAACTTGGTACAAACCCCCATACCAGGGCTGGATGAGGAAGAGTCCCATGAGCAGGCAAAAGAGTCAGAGACACCCCTACTCCTACTGTCTGAGGTCCCACAAGAGCACTAAGATAACATATATGCAAATAATTTATACTCAGACCTGACCCTTGAGGCTGTGTGACTGCCACTTCAGTCTGTATGAGCATGAGGCCAGCTTAACTGATTCTGTGGGCTGTGTTCTGAAGTTCTTGACCCCTCTGACTCCTACAATTCTTACTCCCCCTCTTCTGTAGGGTTTCTCAAGCTCCAAGGGGAGTGACCTGATCGAGATCTCCAATTTGTACTCTCTCTGCCTTATGTTTGGCCCTGAGTCTCTGTATCTGCTCTCATCAGCTGTGGGCAGAAGCCTTTCTGCTGATGGCTGGGCTCTGTGTGCATTTAATCATGGGTATTTTTTCATCAAACTTTCTTTCCCTTTGCAGAGAAAGCACAATTAACCTTGTATATTAGTCATTTTATATTTACTTGAAGCTCTTTGTTTCTATGTTTTATCTGTCATGTAAATTATAAAGATTAATTGATGAGCAAACAAACATCCAGTTGTGTCCTCATTTTATGAATATTCAGTTCAATAAGACAGACTAGCTAAGTGATAAAAATGTTGGTAAACTTTTTGTGTTTATTTTGTGAACCTTGAAAAGTGTATTCTTTGAACTGCCTTTGTTACCACAATTACAAGATAAAAAAATAAGGCCTTAATTTCAAGGTAAAAAGGAAACTTCTGGTATTATTCACTCTTTAGTTTTTTTTTCTTTTTCTCTTTCTTTCTTCTTCTCTTTTTGGTTTTTAAGACAGGGTTTCTCTGTGTAACGGTTCTGGCTATCCCAGAACTCACGCTGTAGATCAGGTTGGCCTCAAACTCAAAGATCCACCCAACTTTGCCTCCCAAGTGCTGGGATTAACGGTGTGTGTCATCACCCATCCAGCTCTCAGACATTAAATCTTATATCACGTAAAAATAATGTCAACACGGGCTGGAGAGGTGTTTTAGAGGTTAAGATCACTGACTGCTTTTCCAGAGGTCCTGAGTTTGATTTCCAGCAACCACATAGTGACTCACAACCATCTGTAATGAGATCTGATCTGGCCTGCAGGCTTACATGCAGGCAGAACATTGTATACCTAATAAATAAATAAATCTTAAAAAAATAATGTCAATACAAAGTTGTGTTTTAAACAGGGTCAGGGTTAAATTTATTTCAATTTAAACTTTTTGAATCTCCTATGTTGATTTTCTGAGTCATTACCATATATTTCTGTATTGTTTTTAAATTTTAGGCTGGGTATAATGGCACATGCCTTTAATTCAAACACCCAGGAGGCAGAGGAAGGCAGATCTTTGAGTTGAACACCAGTCTGGCCTACATAGTGAATTCTAGTACAGCCAGGGATACACAGAGAAACCCTGTCTTGAAAGACAACATCAGTCTGACTTCAGGGCAAGGCCAGTTCGGGCACCCTCTCCTCTATTGCTTAAGGTCTTAGGTGGGGTCATCCTTGTGGAGTCCTGGGAATTTCTCTAGTGCTAGGTTTCTTTCTAGTCCCATAATGGCTCCCTCAATCAAAATATCTCTTTCCTTGCTCTCATTTCTGTCCTTCCTCCATCTCGACTATCCCGTTCACTCAAGCTCTCCTTCCCCTTCTTCTTCTCCCCTCGTTCAACATAGAACCTTTATCCAGCAACTGACAGAAACAGAGGTGGAGACCCACATCAGAACACTGGACTGAGCTCCCAAAGTCCAGTTGACGAGTGGGGGGAGTGAGAATATGAACAAAGAGGTCAAGACATGATAGGTACACCCACTGAAACAGTGTATCCGAGCTAATGGGAGCTCATCAACTCCAGTTGGACAGAGAAGGAAACAGCATAGGTCCAAACTAGTCCCTCTGAATGTGGGTGACAGTTGCATGGCTGAGGCAGACTACGGGGCCACTAAGAGTGGCCCAAGGATTTATCCCCACAGCTTGTACTTTTTTTTTTTTGGAACCTATTTTCTTTGGATAGCTACCTTACTTAGACTAGATATAGTAGGGAGGGTCTTGGACCTTCCCCAAAGCAATGTGCTTTACCTGTCTGAGGATTAGATGGAAGTTGGGGTGGGAGGTTAGGTACAGGAAAGGGGAGGAGGGGAGGGAGTGGGAGGTTAGGTACAGGAAAGGGGAGGAGGGGAGGGAGTGGGAAATGGGATTGGTATGTAAAATGAAAAAAGATAGTTTGTTTTCTTTTTTAAAAAAATAAATAAAAAAGAAAAACAACAACAGCAACAACTTTCCCCCAAAAACAAAAAGACTTCTCAGATATGTATATATGTGTCCAAATATTTTTAATATATGTAAGTAAAATATATAGCTATAGTTACCTAGTAAAATGGTATTAATAGATATCATTTTAAAGTTTTAACTTCATTAACTTTTATTTATTTATTTATTTTAGGTTGCTCACTTTTATTTTTATTTTTTTCTCCAAAGCATTTTTTACTTTCATTTGACAAATACATCTTTGATTTCTTTTTTTGAAGTTAAGGTAGTCCTAAATTATATAGGCTGGCTTATTTCAGCCTTTATTAACTTTTAATGCACCAAAAATAATTCATAATTCTCAGATCCTTGACAACTTTTAAGGCAGTAGGGATGTGATTATTTAATCAGTAAACCAGTATTGATGCCTGAATGATATTTAGGTAAAACCCAGATATGTTGGCTATGTATGCAGGGAGTTCGGAAGACAATTAATTTTAATGTCAAATAGGAAGATAAACATTAACAACTTTTCTCATATCTGTAGGAGAGATGAGGATCTGGGGCTAACCATTGTCCCCAAACCTGGACAGATGCAGTTCACCTGAGGACAGGTCTCTGCCTAGAAACAGACACAAGGACCAGAGCTAGAGCTGGAAAATGTCATCACAGTTGATTTCTATGACTGTAGTAAAACATCACAACCCAGGAGCAAGTCAACTTCTAAAAACAAGCATGTAATTTGGGCTCACAGTTGGGTTAGAATCCATGACTGTCATGTCAGGGAGGCTGGTAGCAGTCAGGCCCTGGTGCGGTATCTGAGAGCTCACATATTGAGATACGACCACCAGGCAGAGAATGGCATCGGATTTTGGACCCCCAAAACTTGACTCCAGTGACACACCTCCTCCAACCAAGCCACACCTCCCACTTCTTCCCAAACAGTTCCATAAACTTAAGAACCAAGCTTGAGGTTTGCTTAAGATACACAGGCCACGCAGGGTATGCAGAGTTGATTTCTAGGTTCCCATAACTGTAAGGGCACCAACAAACCTGCTGAGTGCCATTTAAAAATCCCGTAGTCTGGCCGGGAGTGGTGACACAGGCTTGTAATCCCAGCACTGATTCAGAGGCAGGTCTGGTCAACAGAGTAAGTCCCAGGACAGTCAGGGCTACAGAAAGAAACCCTGTCTCAACAAAACAAAACCCCCAAGCCCCCTGGTAGTCTGAAAGTATTCTGTTTTACAGTTTGAGGTTTCTTAAGAATTATTTTCCCCCCACCCCTTCACAACCTGGAACCCTTTGAGGCTTTTTGTGATTACCCGGGAAAAGTCGCTGGGATGGAAAAAAATATTTCCAAGGAAAGGAAGGGGGAAGAAATAAACAATTGATTGTATATCGTTGACGCGTTAGGATGCTTTCAGCGTATTTTCGTATTAATTTTATTCTGCCATCAACCAAGCGATGTTAGAAAACCAGCGACTAACAAATGGTACCCGAATTCTTTTCCCAGCCAACTCATGTCCTCCTCTTTGCAAATGCACCCCTAACCAGAACTCATCCCAAACTACAAAACGTCCGTATTCCAAACTCCCCGTTGTCTGTAGCAGCTTATCCTGACCCCAGGGCCCTAAACCCCTTTCTCTAAGTGTGGGTCTGCAGCAGATAGGAAGGTAGTGCTCGGATCCCGCAAATCGCCTTCAGAGAGTCTGCTCTTAAGGAAGCCTCGCGTCGGGAAAGTCAATGAACTCAGCGCGCGCTCCAGGACGGGAAGCACAGACGCGCCGGGCAGGTGCGCGCGCACCTGTCGCTCGCACGCTCGCTCGCTTGCACAGAGCAGGCTATGCGCTCGTCCAGGGCGATCCGAGGAGCCCGCGCCGGGCCCAGCTCCGCTAATGCTCGGCACCGGGGATCAGCGTGGCCGCCCTCCCCGGTGCCCGGGAGTCGGCAGCGCGCCCCGCGGGAGTCTGGGAGGCTCGTCCGCTCGGGCGCTCGCCGCGCCCCCTGGCGGTGGCCGTCGGCGCCGGCAGAGCGTGGGTCAGTCAGTCAGGCGTTCTCCGCGGGCAGCCCGCGGCGGGGCCTTGCCTTATATAGCGCGGGGTCCTCTGCGGCCTGGGTGGCTTCTGCCCGTGCTGCTGTCGTAGACGCGGGCGGCTGTTAGTGCGGCGGCTGTTGGTTCGCGGCGGCAGCGGCGGCGGAGGCTGAGGGCGAGGCGACGGGGAGAAGCGGCGGCGGGCGCGGCAGCGACGGCGGTGCCCGGGGCCCGCGGCGGCGGCGGCGGCGGCAGCGAAGGGGGCGAAGATGGCGGACGTGCTCAGCGTCCTGCGACAGTACAACATCCAGAAGAAGGAGATCGTGGTCAAGGGAGACGAAGTCATCTTCGGGGAGTTCTCCTGGCCCAAGAACGTGAAGACCAACTATGTAGTTTGGGGGTGAGTGCGGCATGGGCTTCGGCCTAGGGCTGCTGGTGGGGCAGTGTCGGGCGCCCCCGGGCGACCTCGTCCACCCGACCCCTCCTCCTCCCCGAGTCCCTCGGGGCTGGGAGGGAAACGGGTGCCCTGGGGAAAAGTTCTTCTCTGGGGCAGAAGTTGCACTTGTAGGGTGAGGAGGGGAGAGGTGGAGAGGATTCTCGAGCGGTCCAGTCTTTTCTGTGTTGGAGAAGCCACAGGGAAAGGTACCATGGGAGTTTCCACTTCACCAGTTGGTGTTCACCAATTTGTCTTGGTGTCCGCGCAGTGTAGGGCTCCCGCACGGCTACCTGAACCTAGGTATGAAAGCACAAAGCACAGCCTCTGGCGGCCACCCTGTCGCTTTTTGTTCTTAGTTTTTTTTAATTTTTTTATTTTTTGCCCAGAGGCTGCCATGTGTTGCAACTGTCTCCTCTGGCTCTTGGAGCGACTGAGTAATTTTCTTTCTTCTTTTTTTTTCTCCCTTCCCCCGCTTCATAATGGAGCGGGGGAGGGGGGATGATGTTATTCCTCAAGGAAAAAAAAGTAAGGGAATACTACTACTTGAAGTCTGGGAAAGAAAGATTGGGAGAGTTTGGAAGTCTGCAAAATCAGTGTTCGAGATGAAGCAGGACTTGGTTGGGAAGAAAGTTCCTGGCGAAATGGAGTGAACTACACTATACATACGGGCGTGAGAAATTGATCCTATGTGCTTTTCGGAAAGCGCCTTAAAGAAAAATGTTTGGGAATATTGATCCATGCATGCCATGAATTTAAGTCATTCAGGAAATCAAGTTTAGTAATCCCTTGGGGCTTCTTTAACGATATTATTGGCAATGATGCTTCACTTTGATAATTAGAATGATGGAGTCAGAATTTTGGTACCCATTTTTTTTTTTTCTGATTGAATGACTCGATGAATGGTCAGTTAAAAACTAGTTGTTTAAGTGTCTAAGTTTACCGTGTTTTACTCTTTCAAATAAATTACACAGAAGTAATGATTATATTTTATTGGACTTTGATAAACTTAAAAACTCGGTATAGCTGGGCATGGGACGCACGCCATTAATCCCAGCCCTTGGCAGGCAGGGTTGTGAGGGGGTCCTAAATTCAAGGGCAAACTGGTCTACAAAGGATTCCAGGACAACCAGGGCTGTTAAACAGAGAAACCCTGTCTCCAAAAACCAAACCAAACACCCACCCAGCCACCCCCCAAAAAACTCCTCTCAAGGTATAATAAAGAGGTTTAATTTGAAAAATAGAAAAAAAAAAAAGCTGAAAACTCCCGATCCTGCCTTAGGAGAAGTTGACCTAGCTTAGCTAGCGAAGATGAAACGTTTCATCTATTGAAACAAATTGATGTGAAGTGTTCCTAGTTTATAGGAAGAGAACAGTTGTTTACATTTACTTCTAACCCGGGCAGTGTAGGTCTTTAATCCCAGTGCTCTGGAGGCTAGAGCAGGCGGATCTTTGCGAGTTCGAGGCTAGTTGTATACACAGAGCGAGTTTCAGTACAGCAGAGGGTACACAGAGAAATCTTGTCTCCAACGGCCTCCCCCCTCCCAAAGTTGTTTACTTCTAGTGGTGTGGGTGGGTATTTAGAGAGGGTTTCATGAAAATGCGTTTGACACCTGTTCATTCTGCAAAGTCCCTTCCTTGAATAAATGAATGAACAGATGAGCAAGCTTTAAAGAGTGGGTAAGAATTCTACATGAAACGGTGGAATAGCCTTTCAGGGTGATGGAACTGTATACTTGAGATGAAATCTGGAAAGGACATGTTTGGACAAGCGCTTATAAACGAGTGAAAAAATAAAGCTTAGAAAAAAAATTTGAACTTTTCAGCATCAAATCTTTATTTTATTTTGTTTTTTGAGACAGGGTTTCCCTGTATCTTTGGAGCCTGTCCTGGAACTAGCTCTTGTAGACCAGGCTGGCTTTGAATTTACAGAGATCCGCCTGCCTCTGCCTCCCGAGTGCTGGGATTAAAGGCTTGGACAACCACCTCCTGGCTCACCATCGAATCTTTAATAGTTATGTTCCACATGTATACATCTGAATATGTTCATATATAAAAGATTAATCACTACCCTTAATGCATTCAGTGCTTTCTGATATTTTTATAATTATTTTGTATAATAATTAACAAGTAATGGCTGATTTGATGTATCACCTTAGAGGAAAAGTGATAATAGAGGATAGTAAAGTAGGCTTAGGAGCAGCGTTCAAATGGATTCATATAGTTCAACCATCATAGCTATAGATGGAGGGGGAAGGGAGAATTGGAAAACTGTGTATCCTTAAGACTACATTGATTAATCACGGATAGAATTATGTCTTAGATTTGTGTCACCGGTCTGTCTTAGTTTGAGAGACGTTATAAGAATCACATCCTTGAAGTTCGCCCTGTTTACTTTGAGGATATTGTTGAGGATACTGTAGGGCAGTGTCTTTTTTAAAAGAACTGTAACGTGTTTATTTTTTAAGTGCAGCCAGCCCTAGTGATACCTTCCCCTAAGTAGTTTTTTCTGAGTGGTCCTTCCCATTGTGCAACTGCCTGGGTTTCTTCCTCTGTTAACAGAGCTCAGAACCCAATTGTTGGGGTCTGGTGCTAGCCCGGGCCATAAATTATTTCTCTACCAGACCCCAACATAAACTATCTCTCTCTGGACTGGTGTGGAGGAGACGGGAATAAAGACACGACTGACATGGTTTCATTTGGAGGGAGATTTTTAGTGGTGCCTCATGATGTCCTGAGTTCACATCCTGAAGAATTTCTCCGTTTATTTCCCAAACAGTCTTTATACTAAAACTTAACTTAGGGGAAATACGTTAGCATTCTGTCTCCTAGGTAACTAGGTGAATGGCTTTTTGTCATGTCCAGAATTACCTGTCTGCTCTGTGTGCTAGCTGTCATGTAGGCTTGAATCAGCATCTCGATCAGATATCCTCCATATTACAAAGAAAGGAGCAACAACATTCTGACCTTTTATTAGGACAGTGACAGCCTGTCTGCAGGGCTAGCTGACCACCTCAGCTGGGGCCTATGGCTTCAGAGCCTGGCTGCCACACCATATAGAAATATGGGCCTACACTAATTCCGGTCTTATTTGTGTGTAAAGTGAGGCTGAGGATGTAGCCCAGTTGGTAGAATGCTTGCCTAATAGGAGTAAGTTCCTGCATTTGATTTCCAACACCACACACAACATGCCACCCTCAGCTGTGGCGCAGATTTGAGACCAGCTGGGATACATGAGACCTTGCCTGTTTTAAAAATAGAAAAGAAAAAGTATACATAGTAATAGAGTGTGAATTTATATGCCCTCCCTGTTCCTTTCATTTTTTATTTTGTCCTTTTGCTCCAACAACTCACTTAATGAGAGTTTATATTGCATGTATATTTTTGCTATGTTAAGTACATTGTTAGATAATTACTAGATATAGATAATGAATACATGTAACTAAGGTCAAATACTTGATTTGATAAATTAATAAAATTCATGCTTTAATCATTTTAGGACTGGAAAGGAAGGCCAACCCAGAGAATACTACACATTGGATTCTATCTTATTTCTACTTAATAATGTACACCTTTCTCATCCTGTTTATGTCCGACGTGCAGCTGTAAGTAGAATTCATTTTATAGTTTTATTGATTAAACAATTATTGTTTGGTGTATATAACTTTCCCTCATGGTTTTCAAATGTGTGAAATTATTTTGGACAGTCAAAATTAAGCTGCTATGTGATTTATTAAGTTGTTTTAGTTGGCAATTCATTATTCCTGTAAAATCTAGGTAGTGTTTATAACAGTAGACATTTTTTGTTTGTTTGTTTGTTTGTTTTTAGAGGCAGGTTTTTTTCTGTTCCTAAATTCCTGGCTGTCTTGGAACTCTGTGTGTAGACCTTGTCTGTCTCACAGAGATCTGCCTGCTTCTGCTTTTGCCTCCTGAGTAATAGGATTAAAACCTGGTTCCACCAATGCTTGGCATAGTAGTAGAAGTTTTAAAATAGGTGTTTCAAAAAATGTATAAGCAGATGGAAGAACTCTGATAATTCAGAACTATAGTTTCATTTCAAGAAAACTTTTCTTCGTATAAACATAATACAGGGCAAAGGAGAGGTAAAAGGGATGTAAATTGAGTACTCCAGTGTGAAATTCTCAATAAATAAATAAATCCCGTTTGAACAGATACTTTTAGAATTTTAAACAGTGCAGTGCTTTTTTACTTTATTGGCAAATTTGTTGTTTTTCAGTTTTTATCTGCATTTTTAGTGTTTGAAAATTCTTTATTGAGAGGAAATCATTAGAAATAATTTAAAAGGTTCATTTCACAGAGATTGTTATGATGGGATTCTTCCACTGGCAAGGGACTTTTAAAAAGTGATAAAGATTGAGTTACTTGAGTTTTACATTGCAAATTGCAAAAAACGTCCAAATTAGATGGTTCCCAAATACTCTTTTTTTGGATATTGGAGGAACACAGGGGTTTCATGTAGCCCAGGCTGACCTTGTAGTTGAGGATGACCTTACATTTCTGATTCTCTTGCCTCTAAGTCAAGTGCTGGGATGAGATGTGTGTGCAATCATGCCTTGTTTATCTGGTGTTAGGCACTGAACCCAGGGCTTCATGCATAGCAGACAAGTACTCTAAGGATACCTCCAGTCCTTTAGCATTTGTTAAAAATAAGATCCTTATCAGATATCTTGGTGGAGTAGGATATAGAATTATTTTGGAGATATTGATATAATCAGATATCCACTCTAAATGTTGTCTTAAGTTTTGAGTACATACTTTACTGAGTTGTATTAATTTAAAATAGTACTTTTATGTCTTAAACACACTCCTCCTAAGCACCGTCATTGTGCCTTCCATCACTGGAGCTACTACTTTTTGATATCTGACGCTACTGGTGGATCACATTATGTTGTGGGAAATTTACTTTTATAACCTTTCCTCCAAAGCAGTGATGGGTGAGGTTTTTGAATAGTAACTTGTTATTTGGACCAACTGAGAAAGGACTCACCGTTGAATGGGCTTCAGTATTCAGTAGAACCGCTTTTCTGAGCAAGAAGCATATTCAGTGTTAAATACATTTAAAAAAAACCTTAAAATTAGTAAGTAGTAGGGAAATATTAGCAATCGACCATTACATTGTTCTTCATTAGATGTTTAAATAAAAATTGAATCAAGCAGTGGACAGTGGTGGTGCACACCTTTAATCCCAGCACTTGGAGGCAAAGGCAGGTGGATCTCTGTTAGTTCAAGGACAGCGTGGTTTCCAGACAGTCAAGGCTGGACCTTTGAGAGAAACCATCTCTCAAAGAAAAGAAAAGAATCCCCCAAAACAAACAAACAAAAAACAAAACCAGCAAACAAAAAACTAAAACTAAATCAAGCAATAATTAGAATTGTTTGTTAAATAATTTAAGTACTTAGAGATATAAAGATTCTATTCTTGTAGAGTGGTTATAGTTTATAACTTACGGAGTTGTTACTGTGGACCCTTGTATTTTAAAGTCATATAAGATGAAACACTTGTTTTTCTTATCTAAAGTTCTCTAGTCAATTGCCACGTTACTTGTTCTTTGTTGCACGCAGACTCTTCCTGAGGTGCTCCTGACCCTTGGTGCCTTTTACCTTTTAGTGTCAGCAGGTCTTATCATTGTGAGGTAATTGGCTAGTGATACTAAGGGTTCTTATTACTTCATTGTTGTTTAGAGTAGTTGACAAAGATTTTAATCTGTGTAATCCCTTGGCAACCAGTTTTTCTTTCACTCTGTTGCTTACATTAGAAAAATGATGAGGAAAAATGTGGTAATGGCAAAATTCATTGGCCCAAAGATGACTTGATGCCTAAAGTGTACATTTTATGTGTTTTAATCATTTTTTAAAAAGTTGTGATATTTTTAATTATGTGTCTCTGTATATGTCTTAAGTACACATGAGTACATGTACCAGATAAGGCCAGAGGAATCTAGCCTTATCCTGAACTGGAGCTACAGGTGGTTATGAGCCACCTGACATGAGTGCTGGGAATCAAACTCTGGTCCTCGGGAAGAGCAGAGAGTACTCTAGTTGCTGAGCCAGCTCCCTAGCCCCGTTTAAATCAGTTTTAAAAATGATGACTGTAGATAGGTTAAAGGAAAATTACTCATTTTTCTAAAATCAATAACAGGTTTTCAGATAGGATTTTTCACATCTTTTTTCTTCGTTATCTGAATTTATATACCTTTTTATATGCAGCTTCTTAGATGGCTCTAATGTGGTAAACTACTACAATTAACGTTTTTTTTCTCATATACTTGTTACTAAAATTTATATTTAGTGGTTTATGTAGTTCATTTGGAAGAGTTTCAGTTGAGTAGTTTGAAGAGGTTTGATCTGTGGGGAAGAAAGCACTAAGTATAAAGTGAGTCAACATTGGGACTGAAAAGATAGTGGCCCTCTATGTGCATAACATCCTGAGTGAAATTAGAAAATAAGTAACAGCTGGGTGGTGGTGGCGCATGCTATTAATCCCAGCACTTTTGAAGCAGAGGCTGGGGGAATCTCTGAGTTCTAGGCCAGCCTTGTTCTAAGACAGCCAAGACTATACAACGAAACCCTGTTTCAAAAACAAGTAAAGGTTTAGAGAGCCTGAGATTGATACTAGAAAAAAGATAAAGTTATTACTTGCTTTCAACCAAGTGTCTTGAATTTATCTTTCTGAAATTCTCAAAGTCTAATTTCTGAAAATTAACATTTGAGAAATTTTCAAGATTTTTAGATAGAAAGCTTTTTATCTAAAAAAAAACCTGTGACTTTAAATACATGTATGTTAGATAAATTCAGAGATTACATGATATTTATCAAGTTTTATAGTTGCTGCCATTCAATATCTAATTTAAAATTTTGGCTTTAGACTGAAAATATTCCTGTGGTTAGAAGACCTGACCGAAAAGATCTACTTGGATATCTCAATGGGGAAGCATGTGAGTAGTTTTAAAATTGCTCCCACATTTAAACATTGTGTTTTGTTTTTTTTTTTATCTTCCCTATAAATAAGCTGTAGAGGGAAGTTTGTATTTTCACTGAGTGCCTTACCTGAAGTTGGTCTGTGTGCTTCTCCATGTAGTTGCATGAGGGTTCTGTTCATACTGTTGAAGACTTTTGTCTGTCAGTTATTATTTGTGTCTTGCTTTACTGTTTTTTTTGTTTCATCTGAGTATACATATGAGTATATATGTAGAAATATTTATTCTTTAAAAATTATTTTTGATTCCTCTCTCTCTCTCTCTCTCTCTCTCCCCCCCCCTCCCTCCCTCCCTCCCTCCCTCCCTCCCTCTTCTTTTTTTGGAGACAGGGTTTCTCTGTATATAGCCCTGGCTATTTTGGAGCTCACTGTTTAGACCAGGCTGACCTTGAACTCAGAAAGATCCACCTGTCTCTGTTGCCCAAGTGCTGGAATTAAAGGTGTGTGCCACCACCACATGGCTGATTCCAGATTTCTGTTTCATAAAAAGAATTGTCATAATATCGCCACTTCCTTTTTACATGCTCAAAGTTCCTCCTGCTTAGCTTTCATCCTCACCATCCCATTAAAGTCAGAGACACTGGTCGTGCCACATTCCTTTTACCCGCTTTAACTGTGAATATTGATAGTGTTGAAGAGTGCTTCTTTCAAGTCCTTCACTTGACACTGGGTACTGTAGACTTCGGTATTCTTTCTATTCATTATTTACCTTTCAGAATATTTTGTCACTTCTGTGCCTAATATTAGTTGTCTTAGGTTTTCTATTGTTCTGATGAAACACCATGACTAAAATCACTTTGGGAAGGAAAGCATTTATTTTTGTCCTACAGCATGTGGTCCATGATTCAGGGAAGTCAAGGCAGGAACCTAAGAGTGCTGCTAACTGACTTGTTCCTCATTGCTTGCTCAGCCTGCTTTCTTATGGCCCACAGGACCCTTGTGGGGCCCAAGATTGGTATCAACCTCACTGACTTGGGCCCCCCATCAGTCATCAATCAAGAAAATGCACCAGTTTTTTCTACAAATAATCTTACAGAGGCATTTTCTCATTGAGGTTTCATCTTTCCAAATGACTTGTGCCAAGTTGACAAAAAACTAGCCAGGAAGTTTTCTATGGCTTGATGTTTCTTTTTCTCTTGTAACATAGAATCTCTAGGTGATGTCTTCTAAGTTTTATGCTGTAATTGCTATGTTATGTAAATGTTATGTAAATACACATTGCTGAATTCCAAATATAGTTGGCTTTTGAACAACATGGGTTTGATAAGTGCAGGTCCACTAATGTGTAGTAAGGATTTTTTTTTTAAGATTTGTGACTGTTTTGAAAAACATAAGCCATCACAAAAAATATGAAAAAGGTATATTATTATGTTATATACTAACTTAAAAATAATTTAAAAATACAGTGACAGAAAGATGTGTAATAAATGTGTAAATTATCTTTATTCATTTATAATTCAAAAATCTTTTATACACAAAACTTACTTAGGCACATGATATTTCTATACCATATTGATACCATTCACTGTTGCGAGAAATGTAAACAAACATAAGATGCAGTATTAAGTACAAAGTAAAAGGGTAGTATGTTATAGCTTTATAGTCCTCTCCTCTGTCAGTTGTAATAAACTCAGTCAGCACAAGTATCTGCTTAATCTTTTTTTTTTTATAATTTTTTTTTTAAAATTTCATTTATTATGTATACAGAGCTCTGCCTGCAGGCCAGAAGAGGGCATCAAATCTCATTACAGATGGTTGTGAGCCACCATGTGGTTGCTGGGGATTGAACTCAGGACCTTTGGAAGAGCAGCCAGAGCCAGCTCTTAACCACTGAGCCATCTCTCCAGCCCCTCCTGCTATGTAATCTTGTAATGTGATTACTTCTTCAGAATACTGTATATTATTGTAAGAAGTGATTTCTTGCAGTTGTTAGATATTTTTTCATCATATATCATGTGTGCAGCACACTAAAATAAGGGTTGTTGCCTGTTATTGTTAAGTAGCTTCTGGTAAAAATCAGTTTATTAATTTTTTGAGCAGTCAAATTTATACATGAACTTTCAACTTGATGAGAGAATCAGTGCCCCAACCTTCATGTTTATGAGTCAATTGCATATAACTCCACAGACTCTGCTTCATATTTATACATTTACTGTTGTCATCTTCCTTTAAATGTTTAACAGGCTTCTGAATGTCCAAAATAGTGTGCCTAATTTACTCCTTCCCACACAAAACAAAACAGTGAGTCTGTTCTCATCTTAGAAAGGAGTGATGGTACCTTATGTAACTTCATGCTGTGACTTAGGCCTTAAACACTAGTGAAATGATTTTCTGACATATACAGCATTTGTTACATCCTCTTCTCTGCCTTGAAAACCGTGACAGTTTTCCCACTCTATTCCAACCCTATCCTACTTCTCTTCTTCATCTAAAACCTCCTCATATGTTCTCTTTATCTGCTACAGTTTATTCTGTAACAAGATTTGTTTTTGAAAATGTACATTTATTTAATTGTGCCAATCATCTGCTCAAGGCCATTTGTGGGTTCCATCACACTTAGGATAAAGCTCATACTTTTTACTGTGTGGACTCCTTGATCATGTTTCTGTCTAAATCTCTATGGCTTTATCTTCTATCTTTCGACAAAGGAGTCAGTGTATTGATCTTTCAGTTGGTTTAGTTAACCTTAGAGCCTCTGCCTTTACTATTCTGTCTTCAATTTTCTGTATTGTTATTGGGCTCTTATTTTCCCTCCATGCCCAAATATTCTTCCAAGTATTGTCAGTGAAGACATCCCTGACCATTCTAAAATACGGAGTAACATCCACCCTCATATCTGTCTATATGTGATCAAATCATATTTATTTTCCAAACAAATACCATATTTTTGTCTGAAATTTTATCTGTTGTTTACTTGGATACTGTTTATTAGAGACTGAACCTTAAAGGATAAATTGTCCAGTTGTCTTATTTTATTACTCATTAAAGTTTAGAACAGTATTGTATAGTAATTGAAAAAATGAATAATTTTTTTATTCTAATATACATAAATTAGTATTATAGAAAAAATAGATCTCACCTTTAATAGCAGTTATGTTACACATTCTGCCCCATGTTTGTAAGCTGTAGTGTTGGTGTGTGTAGAGAATGTTGTGCTTAATAGGAAGATCCCCAGGACTGTTTTCTTGTGCTATTCTGAAAATGTCTGACTTATTCTTTACATTCTTTTTTCTAATTGTATGTGTGTGGGGTGTGTGTGCCAAAGTTTGTATGTGGAGGTCAGAGACTACCTTGGAGTCAGTACTCTTCTACCTTCCTGTAGCTTCCCAGAATCAAACTCAGGTTACTAGGTTTGTGTGGCAAGTACTTCACCTGTTCCCATCACGCTTATTCTTGAGTCGTGTTATGCAGGGCATAGTACAGAATTCAGTCTTGGTAAGCAAGGAATGAGAAGGAAGCCATTCCTGTAAAGGCAGTTGAGATGGAAAGATAACAAAAAAGCTTTTTATTTTTGTCTGTTTTGAATCAAAGAACATTTAATTATTTGGAGCACGAGAATCATGGTATACATGTTATAAAATGCACCTTTTTTTCTTCTTAGGCTCACTATAATTGCCTCGTAAAAAACGTATTGAAGAGAGTGTAGGATTCTTCAGTTTTACTAAGTGTCTCAAATGCACCTGGTAAATGCATTCATTTTGGGATAGTCTCAATGAGTTTATCAATTCACATAATTTCTTGTGTTTTATATAGGATAAATTTAGTTTTCAAATATACTGTTTTATTAATTTGTAATCATGTTCAATGGAAAAGTTGAACAGCAGTTAAAATAATGTTATAATTAATAGCTTAAGGACATTAACTGTTGAGCAGTAGAGCTACATAAATAATTTTAAATTTTATTTGGTAAAATTGAGTATCTTAACAATTTGAGGAAAAGCAATGAGAAGAGACTAATGATTCTGGAGTATAGAACTTAAAGACCAAATGATTTAAAAACTGAGAATGAGTAGATACATTAATAAAACAACTTTTGTATGTTAGATAAGAAATACTAATGTGAAACTGGTCTTACAGTATGATGGTAGTGCATCTGACTCCAGAAATACACATAGCAATTTAACATTGGAGTAAGACATGCCAGAGCAATGGAAGAAGGTGGGATTATCAGTTAATAATGAAAAAAGTTCTGTATCATAAAAAATAGCCAGGTAGTGGTGGATGGGGAACATGTTTAATTCCACCACTCAGGAGGCAGAGGTAGGATCTTGGTGAATTCTAGGCCAACCTCATCTACAGAACTAGTTCCAGGACAGCCAGGGTTACACAAAGAAACCCTGTCTTCAAAACAAAACAAAACACCAATACAAAAAAGCCCCAAAACAAACGAATACAAAAAAGAAGAAAAAACAAAAGGCCTTGATATACTGGGAAAATGTTTCCACTACTATAGAGTCAGTCAGTTATGATAATTAACACATGAAGTGTGACCTTGGAAATAGACACACAAAAGACCAATAGCTTGAGTATTGATAATCAACATATAGTTAGCAGAAGAGGTGATAAAACCACTTGCAGATTTGATTTGTTTATTATAAATTACAAATTTAAAGAATACAAAGATAAGATTTTGAATTTTGCTGTTTATCAGTGAACTCTGATGAGGCTGTTAGCATTGTTGGTTGTGTTACTAAGCTGTTACAGTTCATTGCAAGTGAAATAGAAAACCTACATTTGGAACTATCCTAGAGCTATATTTAAAATGTAAAAAGTCACATACATGTGAAGTTTCTTTACTATTTTTTGTAATAACAGAAGATCTAGAATTGAACTGTCGACTCATGGGGGAACCAGTCAAATGAATTATAATTATTCCATACAATAGGATACCCATAGAAAAAGAAAAAGGAGTCGGGAATTAGCCTATGTACTGGTATGGAAGGGGTGTCTTTTGTAAATGAGAAACAAGTTTTAGAATATTCTGTGTATTATGCTGCCTTTGTGCACAAAGGTACAAATAAATATATTTTATGTTTCTTGGATTTTTAGAAGAATATACAAGACAGCTAGGGGAGTAGGAATGAACTTTTTGATCCATTCAAAAATAAAATAATTTGGGGGGCTGGAGAGATGGCTCAGCGGTTAAGAGCACTGACTCTTCTTCCAGAGTTCCTGAGTTCAATTTCCAGCAACCGTATGGTGGCTCACAACCATATATAATGAGATCTGGTGCCCTCTTCTAGGTTGCAGGTACACATGCAAGCAGAACACTGTATATGTAATAAACAAACAAACAAATCTTAAAAAAAATAATTTGAAGGATAGTTGGAAGTATCCTACCAATTGTGAACAACTAAAATTTGCATAATTAACGTGATAGTGTATTTGTGTATATTTAAGTATCTGGGGAATTTTTAAATGTGTGTTATAGAGGAGTGTAATCTGAACTGATCAGTTAACTTATGTAATTAGCATCTCACTAATCTGTAAGCTAAATTATTAAAAATTATTTGTCTTTCACAGATTTTTAAATACAGACTTATCTTATTAAGCAAATGCTTGTATAGAGATGTTTTTTGAAACCATTTTACCTAGGGAAATCCTTCTATGAGTATAAGAAATAAAACAAAGCTTGAACATTTCCCCTGGAATAATATCCAAAATATATGCTCAAATATTGATCTGCTTATATGACTTTTCTTTTCTGTTTTCAGCAACATCAGCCAGCATCGATAGGAGTGCACCCCTGGAAATAGGCCTTCAGCGGTCCACTCAAGGTACATTGTGTCATTTCTTTATCTTGAACTTAAAAAACCCCTTTCATAAAGTGCACACTTACTTGCTCCTTTTTTTCTTATAGTCAAAAGAGCTGCAGATGAAGTTTTAGCAGAAGCAAAGAAACCACGAATTGAGGTAACAAACTCTTATTTTTAAAGTAATTTTATTTGTACTGAAACTGGAATTGTGTAGAAATAAGAATTCTTCATAGGCTGGGCAGTGGTGGCAAATGCCTTTAATCCCAGCACTTGGGAGGTGGAGGCAGAAGGATCCCTGAGTTCAAGACCAGCCTGGTCTACAAAGTAAGTTCTAGGACAGCCAGGGTTACACAGAGAACTCCTGTCTTGAAAAACAAAAACAAACAAACATTCTTCATAGTAATTTGGGTAGCTTTTTTTCCCCCTGAAAAGTAGATCAATAGGTAGTTTGCATTATTATTGTATTAAGTTCTGTGGGGAATATGCCATTTTATTTTCTTTGCTATTCTTTGCCTTATTTGATGAAAACAGTGTCCTAGATCTATAGTAAGAAACTATTATCTGATCATGTTAAAGGTCATGTGCTAACTAGTTTAGGTTTTTAGGGCCCTGCAGTCTTAATTTCTGCACCTCCATCTTGCTGTGCCTCCTAATTCTATTCTCTGTTATTTTAGTGGGGAAGAATTTCTAAATCTTACATAAATTGATAGATGTGGCTGTTCTAATAAAACTACTTTTTAGGGAATAAAAGCTACTAGTATTACTTAGGTTTGTAGAACCAAAATTAGAACCAAGGTAGTCTGGCTGCTAAGCCATGGTGCTGTCTATGAATTTTGTGACAGTTGAACTGAAAGTTTCCCCTTTTCCTTCTGTATGAAAGAAGACTGGCCACTATCAAAACAGTGACTACGGTGCGGGGAGGAGGCAGAAATCCTTAATAAATAAATAAATTAAAAAAAAAAAATTTAACACCCAAGGAAGCTAAATGCCAAAGCTACCAGTAGCTTGTAACATTCTCTTTTCTCTGTCTGTCATATATATAAAGTTACAACATAAACATTTGTATTAGTTGTTACTTCAACAAATTGAATTCTCTAAGATACTATGGGAGGAAAAAGAAAAGGACTTTTGATTTGATTAAAATTTTGGTTGTATTTTTTAAAGTCACTAGTTTCTTGAGGACCTTGACCATCATAGATTATAACTTCCTTACCAATGGAAAAAATTAAGTACATTTGCTAAAATATCTTTGCTGATGTGTCATTTTTCTTGACATTTTTACACGGTATAAAACTAACAGGGCATGAATTGGAGCCCAATATTTTTTTCTTTTGGTGTTTTAACTATGCTAATGTATTGTGTATAGTTTTATATGGTCTTATTCTTTGACCTACTCCTTGTTTTTTTTATTTGTTGAATATAAACTTTGACCTAGATAGCTGTCACTTCATTGGATTTTTTTCTTAATCATCCACATATCTTTCAAACTAAATTTCACATGGCTTTCCAATAGAAGTTATAAATCATATTTTCCAGGTTTACCTCAAGCTCATAGTTGTAGCCATTATTGTCTTTAAACTCTTGATGCTTCTGCCTAAGCATCCTGACTTCTGGGATTATAGGTTTGAACTACACACCCTTGCCAGATAAGATTTTGAAATAGTCTATTGAGAACTTTGTAGGGAGATTTTAATGTGCTGAGGAATTTACCTTTCAAAAGCAATTCAAGTTTTCTTCTGGTGTTATGACTTGTATTTGGTAGATTTTGGGACCTGTGGCACCAGATTAAAAAAAAATTGGTATCCAAAGTGAAACATTTAACTTTGATAATGACTTCCTTTAAATGCTAGATTTTTTTTTTTCCATTAAAAATGGATCCATAGGGGCTGGAGAGGTGGTTCAGCAGTTAAGAGCAAGTGCAGAAGACCTAGGTTCAGTCTTAGCACCCACTAGTGATTCATAACCATCCATAACTCTTATCTATATATAACTGCAGGCAGCAGGCATGCATGTAGTGTACATACATATATGCAGATAAAACACTCAGTACTGCCAGGCAGTGGTGGTGCACACCTTTATTCCCAGTACTCAGGAGGCAGATGCAGGTGGATCTCTGTGAGTTCGAGTCCAGCTTTGTCTACAAGAGCTAGTCCCAGGACAGGCACCAAGCTACACAGAGAAACCCTCTCTTGAAAAATCAAGCAAACAAACAAAACAAAACAAAACCAAACCAAGACCAACCAGCCAACCAAATAAAAACAAAAACAGCACACACTCAGCACATGTAAATAAATCTAAAAACTTTTTTGGGAGAGAACATAGAAATAGATGTCTGGGCATCATATTGTTTTTAGTCTTTGATGTTGCAAAAGCAATACATAAACGTTTAGGAGACATTAGTTTCCTTTCAGTAAAATATTCAGTAAAATGTGAGATGTCCAACACTTTATAATAAAACAAGCTTTGTGTTATTTGGAGGCTAGTATATGTTCAAGTAAGCAGCACTAAGCTATGATATTTAGTAGGTAGATGTGTTGAACACATTTTTGGCTTATTGTGTTTTAAATTTGCTGTGGTATCTTAATTTGGATTACTGTTGCTGTGATGAAACACTGTAACCAAAAAGTAGTTGGGAACAGATTTATTTGGCTTTCGCTTCTATATCTATAGTTTATCACTTGAGGGAAATTAGGACAGGAACTCAAACAGGGCAGAAACCTGGAGGCAGAAGATGATGTTACTTATTGGCTTGCTCAGCCTGCTTTGTTATAGAACCCAGGACCATCAGCCCCGGAAAGACCCCACCCACAATGGGCTGGACGCTCCCACATCAATCACTAATTAAGAAAATGCTCTATAGGCTTGTCTACAGCCCAAACTTATGGAAGCATTTTCTCAATTGGGGTTCCAGATGATGCAAGCCTGTTTCAAGTTGACATAAAATTAGCCAGCACACATGGTTTATTAGATCATAGCCCTATGTTCCTTGTAAGTTGAAGAACCTCAGAAATCAGTTCCAGAATTAAGTGATTCAAAATACATTATTGTCTTTGTGAAAATAAAGGCCTTAAAGTTGATTTAAGTCCAACATTGCATGGAACTATTCTGTGGTAATCTTGGTAAGAAGTTATGTTTAGTGATTTTTTTCCATGTAAAGTTAAATAAAACTTAATGTTACTAACCAGTGATTATTTTTAGGATGAAGAGTGTGTGCGTCTTGATAAAGAGAGATTGGCAGCTCGTTTGGAAGGCCATAAAGAAGGAATTGTACAGACTGAACAGATTAGGTAAGGGTTTCTTAAGTAGATAATACAGATTTTACGTAAAGGTATGTGGGAAAATAGAATGTTCAGATGTTACAATTTGCATTTGCTTCTTTTATTCATTGTATGCCCCTGTTCACTAAGTTTAGAAGAATGCAGTTGTTCCTTTGGAATCTATTGGAATTGGTCTAGGATCTCTCCACAGATATTAATACCCATAGGTGCTCAAGTCCCTCGAGTAAAATGGCATGGTATTTGTTTATTACCTGGATACTCTAGATCACTTACTGTGTTAGACTTTCCACTAGTATATCAAACATGAGAACAGTCATAGAAGAGAATATTTATTTAGGCTCACTTTCAATTTAGAGTTCTACGGTTCTAATTTTGGACCCATGTGCAGAAAGGCAGAACATCATTGTATAGAATGGAGTATGTAGTAGAAAGCATTGTTATAGCACACAGGAGAAAAGTTGGGGGTGGGAAGCAGAGAATAGTGTGTGTATGGAAACTAGAAGGACCAGGGAAACAATAGTTCCAAGAATTTAACCCCAGTGAACCACTTTTTTGCTAAATCCAACCTCTTATAATTTTTAGAAACTCCCAAAATAGCATCAATAGTTGGGGACTAGGCCTTTAACACACCACCTAGTCCAATACTAATATATCTGCGACTCCCAAAGACTTATGTTTGTCTCATAATGCAAAATGTATTTAGTGCATCTTTGATAGTCCCTGAAATCTTAATAGTTCCAACCTTATTCAGAGCAATCAACTTAAAGTCTCCTCAAGTAGAAGTCTCTTAGCTGTGAGTCTATAAATTTTAGTAGTGCCAGGAGGTGGTGGCACATTCCTTTAACTCTGGCACTCCAGAGGCAGAGGCAGGCAGATCTCTCTGAGTACAAGGCCAGCTTGATCTACAGAGTGAGTTCCTGGACAGTCAAGACCACACAGAGTTTCTAGAAAAAACAAAAACAGTCCTTTGGGACTAGAGAGATGGCTTAGTGGTTCAAAGTACTGGCTGTTCTTCCAGAGGTCCTGAGTTCAGTTTCCATCAAACACATGGCTTAAACCTTCTATAGTGGAATCTCATGTTGTCTTCTGGCATAAAACCATACATGAAGACAGAGCACACATATACATAAATTAAGTAAATTTTTATTTAAAAAATTTTAGTAACAAGTTCCATATTTTTAGCATACAACAATGCAGAATAAATTATTCTTACTACAAATGGAGACATGAAACATAGAGAGGAATGGGACTAAAGCAAGCCTGCAATCTAGAGGGCAAATGTTAAATCCTGTAGATTCATGTCCATCATCAGTGGCATATGATGTGGTAATATGATATGTGTGTGCCAGTGGGCTTGGGTAGCCCCATCCCTATGGCCTGACTTGTTATAGTCCACATGAGCTCTATGGTTACTGTGGCAGATTTTCTATGCCTGAATTTTGCAATATCCATGCTGAGCTGCCTTGACATTTCTGCCTTTTTATTTACTACTTTTAAATTTAACCCCACTCAGAGTCTGGGATCATGGACAAAATATGACAAATTCTGTGCAATAGTATAGTAAAATGGTTTCTGTAAAAGTCCTAATAGAGGTCTTACTCATGTGAAACCACGTAATTAGCTAGTCTCAGTCTTAGGGCATTCTGGATTTCTGAGGTCCCACAAGAATTAAGCTCTACCTATGTAGCATTCTAGGACTTATCTAGCCCATCTCTCCAAACTTAATAAATTCTTCCTAAAGCCGGGCGATGGTGGCCCATGCCTTTAATCCCAGCACTCGGGAGGCAGAGGCAGGCGGATCTCTGTGAGTTCGAGACCAGCCTGGTCTACAGAGCTAGTTCCAGGACAGGCTCCAAAGCCACAGAGAAACCCTGTCTCGAAAAACCAAAAAAAAAAAAAAAAAATTCTTCCTACAAACCAGTTCTGAAAGCTCCTGAATGGAACAATCAAGGGATAACAGCAGTCTGAACAGACCATCCTGTCAATTTTCTCTGTTAGACTGTTAGAGGAAGATCTGTTTTGTCTTACAGTGTCAGAGGTTGCAGTTGAAGGTTACATAATTCAGTTGCTTCTGGGTTTATGTGTCTGTAGCATCTGGGGAGAAAGGATCAGTGTCACTTCACACATGAGCACTGACCAATCCACATAGCTGTTTTATGTTTTTCTTTCTCTTGATCCTCTAGGGTAACCTCTTTCCTAACCCACAATTTGACTATGGAATTGTGACATTCCAACTCTCAAGGAATTTCTAGTTACTCAGCCAGACTGCCTTGTATAATCTTCACCATAGGCATGACTTCTTTCCTGGGAACTTTACATTGAACAGAGATAAATTACAGTAATTATTCTCACTCACTCTAGAGACAGTACTGTTTTAAGTACTATTCCTAAATATCTCATGGATATTTCTCATTTTGGCTGAACCAGCCTTGAATTACCAGCTTAAACTTACCTAATGGATGGTGGTTGTTTCCAGGTTTAGATAGTTTCTTTGTTAATTCCATGTGCTGGCATTCTACTGCAATACCTCTGTTCAGCTCTTTTTTTTTTTTCTTTTATTTTTTTTTTATTGAGAAAAGGAGAAAAAAAAACAAGTTTCCACCTCCTCCCAGCCTCCCATTTCCCTCCCCCTCCTCCTACCCTTCTACCCCTCCTCCCACCCTTCTCCCCCTCCCCCCACTCCTTTCCCCCTCCCTCTCCAGTCCAAAGAGCAGTCAGGGTTTTCTGCCCTGTGGTAAGTCCTAGGACCTCCCCCCTCCATCCATATCTAGGAAGGTGAACATCCAAACTGGCTAGGCTCCCACAAAGCCAGCACATTAAGCAGGATCAAAACCCCGTGCCATTGTCCTTGGCTTCTCATCAGCCCTCATTGTTCGCCATGCTCAGAGAGTCCGGTTTTATCCCATGCTTTTTCAGTCACAGTCCAGCTGGTCTTGGTGAGCTCCCAATAGATCAGCTCCACTGTCTCAGTGGGTGGGTGCACCCCTCGTGGTCCCGACTTTGCTCATGTTCTCCCTCCTTCTGCTCCTCATTGGGACCTTGGGAGCTCAGTCCAGTACTCCAGTGTGGGTCTCTATCTCTATCTCCATCCATCACCAGATGAAGGTTCTATGGTGATATGCAAGATATTTGTCAGTATTAATATAGGATAGGGTCATTTCAGGTTCCCTATCCTCAGCTGCCCAAGGAACGAACTGGGGACATTGCCTTGGGCTCCTGGGAGCCACTCTAGGTTCAACTATGTTCATAGCAGTATTATTTGTAATAGCCAGAACCTGGAAACAACCTAGATGTCCTTCAATGGAAGAATGGATGAAGAAAGTATGGAATATATACACATTAGAGTACTACGCTGCGGTAAAAAACAATGACTTCTCAGCTCTTTTCTTAAATATTCTGTACCCAGCAACCACATGGTGGCTCACAACCATCTGTACTGAGATCTGGCGCCCTCCTCTGGCGTGCGGGCATACATCGAGGCAGAATGTTGTATACATAATAAATAAATAAATCTTAAAAAAAAATATTCTGTACCATGTAAACACTTTGGTCTTGTTTAAATTCTCCCTGGGTTCTTCTTAGGACCTAGTAAGCCAGGGAAGTTAGAGGAGTGACTTCATTTGTCATTTGTCAGAGAATCACTGTCATTCAGTGTGTACCTAATAACCAGTAAGCCCTTATTTTTTGAAGTTTAGCTAATCATTTCTGGTTGTTGAGCTGTTTTAATCACTGGCACTTCATCTTCTTGGCTAGAAGTAGAAGTCTGATCATTGAAAGTCCAGTGTCGGCTTGAGAGTCATCCAGATTGCTCCCTGGTGAAGACCATGCTGCCAAGCTCAACCAGTGACCTGAGTTTGCTACCCAATTTGTCCTCTGATTTTCTTTCTTTTCTTTTTAAAGATTTATTTATTTATTTATACAGTATCCTGCCTGTAGGCCAGAAGAGGGCATCAGATCTCATTATAGCTGGTTGGGAGCCCCCATGTGGTTGCCGGGAATTGAACTCAGGACCTCTGGAAGAGCAGGCAATGCTCTTAACCTCTGAGCCATCTCTCCAGCCCTGTCCTCTGATTTTCACACATTGTGCTGCATGTGTGTGCACACACAGAAACATGTAATAAAAACAGTTTGAATTTGTCTAAACACGTGCATATAGGCTTTAATTTTACAGCTAGAAATCAATGCAAAATAGAAGGAGAAAAAGGTAGAAAGTAAATTATCTCCGATAACTCATTTATGGTACCTTTTTACGTTACAAATCAAGTGAAAAGACATGACTTCTGTGAACTGTACTAAACTATCTTTTGTAGATAGACTGCAGAAAGCTCCCCAAACAAACAATTATCAGTTTGTTTTTTTTTTAAAAAAATCACAGTATTTAATCTACACCCATGTTTTTCACTGTATACCAATTAAGATTTGAGCAGGAAAGCAGAGTGCAGGAGGGACTGTGTTTAGAATTTCTTTGGAAATGTTTGTGCCTATTACAATGACACTGGAGCCACATTTCCTCCAAATTGATGATGAGTCAGTACATAAGAATTGAGTTGGGATGTCATTTTTCTTTAATGTTTTGTACAGTCCGTGTCTGGACACTGTGTTGACAGTTTCAAATTACTAGTTTTTCCTCTTGTCACCCTTTGTTAGTGATTATTATATTTTTAGCTGTTGCCGCAAGGCCTTGACATTTGTCCTGTGCTGGTAGAGTTCCAGTGACACACTGGATTGCTAGCCTATGTTCTGTTTTTTAAGGCTTTTGTTAAATGTATGGTTTCATGTATGCTAGGTAAAGACTATACCACTGTACCAGTCCTCAACCACTGTTGAATAATTTTTCTTGTTTTATATTATAAAAAACAAAAACACATCTTCAATTCAGACCTTAAAGAGTGGTTTCCACATGTGTTCTCATAAAGGGATGTTCCCTTTTTGGGAGACCAGAATTTTAAATTATTTTTTCCATTGAATTTTCCTTTTTCCTTTTTTTTTTGTACGTTGTAAGTACTACTAAAATACATGTATTTCATTCTTTAGACAAGGATTTTTGCCATTCCTATTAGAGAATTGCTATGAAGATTGTTATATTTAAACCAACATATTTTTGAAAACTGACAATTCCTGGGTTACTGAATTTTTTCTTTGAAATTTTAGATTGGTTTATTTTCTTTTTTAGGGTGTTTAAATATTCTGCCTATGTGTATGTCTGTGTACCATGTCCTTGGTGCTCACAGAGGTTAGAAGAAGCCATGGTGATTTCCTGGAACCTGAGTTATAGATGGTTTTGGGCCACCATGTGGTCCTAGGAACTGAACCCTGTTCCTCTGCAAGAGCAACCTCTGAGCCATCTCTAACCCATGGAATACTACTGATTTATTGTCCCTGAATCTCAAAGAGAAACACACCAGGAAATTGAAAGCCCTAAGAAATTTTCTTATTTTCATTGCATACTACAGTTTTTATTTATGTCATTGTTGGTGAATACATTTTTTTAAATAAAAAGACTGCTTTTTGCCTATTTGAGAGTCAAGTAAATTGAAGACAGAAATTGTCCACAGTACATTTATTTCAGTATGTCTTTTTTTTTAATTTTAAAGTTTTTTTTTTATAATGAAGTTTTAATTAAATTAGGTATGGTTTTGTCTACCAGAAATTGAAAGGACTATTGTGGCATCTACAGTCTCTTTGGGCTCTGATGTCAGTCGTATATGTAGCCTGTAGTTTTACAAACTGGAAATACATTTCATGGAAAAACCCAAGCTTTAGCCTTTTTACAGAATGACATTTTCGCCCCATCACAAGATGCTTGTTTATAGTTTTCATATGTAGAGAGGTACATGTATAGATAACACTGGTAAAGCCTCAGGAATACAAGCAAAAGCACCCGAATTAGTTCTGCTCTTCTGTGGGAGATTTTAAAAAAAAGCAAGGAATTTTATTATTAGTTTTAAATTTAAAGAGATTACTAATTCAAGACTAGGTGGTTCAGTGGTTAAAGCACTGGCCATTCTTACAGAGGATCCTGATTTGGTTTCAGCACACACATAGTGGCCTATAACTGCCTGTAGCTTCAGTTTCAGGGAATTTGAAGCCCTCTTGACTTTCTTGGGTACCAGGCACAGAAACAACACATAGACCTACATGTAGGTAAAGCACTCATACTCATAAAATTAAAATAAATTACCAACTTGCTTTTAGAGTATTATCTTTATGAACTGTTGCCTGTAAAATTCTGTGTGACTATAAAATATTAAGGTTTATAGAAAAGCATATTGTTACTTGCAGTGGTGTTTTTTTTTTTCTCTTTTAAATCGTCATTTTAAGTGCAACAGTATAAATGTTGTACAGAAGGAATCTTTGCTGTGAAATTTTAAAAATAAATTACTTTTAGGTCTTTGTCTGAAGCCATGTCAGTGGAAAAAATTGCTGCAATCAAAGCCAAAATTATGGCTAAGAAAAGATCTACTATCAAGACTGATCTAGATGATGATATAACTGCCCTTAAACAGAGGAGTTTTGTGGATGCTGAGGTAGATGTGACCAGAGATATTGTCAGCAGAGAGAGAGTGTGGAGAACAAGGACAACTATCTTACAAAGCACAGGAAAGGTAATTAAATATTTTACTCATTCTTTGGAGTGTTGTAGGATTGTTTAAAATTTACTAATAGGTTTCAAGTTTTATTTTTTTATGTTTATAAATTAATAAATTAGCTAAGGACTAATTCTTTTCAACTTCTGCTCAGAGCAAATGTATGCTCTGTAAGTTTTGAAAGATAAGAATTTGAATGAGAGTTTGATAGTCTGAGGATCATGCACACCCATGTGAAGGGAGAAAGAGAATTGACTGCACAGTTTTCCTCTAACCTCCATGCACACACACACCCCATACACATTAATTAAAGAAATTTAAAAATTTAATACTAGACGCTCTAGGATGTCAATTAATCTCTTGGAAAAGATACATCAGTCTGTGTACATATTTTCCTCTGCGTTGTGGGCTTTCCTCTTAAGTTTCCTTTGTCATTGATTCTCTATTGCTGCACAAACAATGGTGGTTTGGTAGAACATTTGAAGAAGTGTGTGAGATTGTTGTGAAACTGAGCTTTACATTGAAAGAGACTTTATGTTTAGAGACCCTCTTGGCTTTCTTGAGGTAGGGTCTTTCTTAGTGGCTTAGGCCTGCGTTTGCCTACAAAGTACTGTGAGTACAGGTATGTGCCACCTGCCCTGACTGGTTTTAATTGGTAGAATAATATTGAAACTTTAGCTTTTCATTTACTGTCCCGTTTTGGTAGGAATAAAATAACTAGAAAGAGTGTAAGGAAAATAATAATTTCTATTTATTTTATTCTATTTACTTTGACTTATCTTACATTTTAAGAAGCATTTTCCATGGGCCAGACAGATGACTCATCTGGTAAAGGCCTTCATTGTGCAAGCCTGGCAACCCAGGTTGAATCTCCAAAAGCCATGTAAAGGTGAAAGGAAAAACCAGTTCCTCAAAGTTGTCCTCTGGCCTCCACACATGGTGTGGCATGTATGTTCCCACATTCATATTATGCATGTGTGTGTGTGCACAAAAATAGTAATAAGTAAAATTAATTTAATTTAGAAAAAAAGCCGTTTTTCCAGGCCCAATGAGATAGTTCTGGAGTGACGGTGCTACCCACACAATCCTGGTACCCTGGGTTTGATCCCTAGACTCCTTGGAGAGATGAAGGAGAAAACTGAGTCCACAGTGTTCTTCTCTGACTTCTGCACTTGCACTGTGGTGCATGTGTCCACTTCAACGTATTTAGTAATGAAAAAAGATTATTCTAGAGCTTGGAATTCTAAAGCAATGTGAGGTTATAATCATTCTTTATTTTCTGTTATTTGCAGTTAAATGATAGCATTCTCATTTTCATTGTTTCACATGGCTAATATTTGATTAATACTGTGACTTTTTAGTTCTTTTTGTTTTGTTTTGAGACAGTTTAACTGTGTAACCCTGGCTGTCCAGACACTCACTATGTAGACCAGGCTGTCTTTGAATTCACAGGGATCCACCAGCCTTTGCCTTATCTGAATTATGATTAAAGATTAAAGGTATGTGCCACTATGCCTGGCTTTTTTTTTTTAGTTCATTTTAACTTGGCAGTCTTTAACTTATAGTTTTCTTCTGTCTGAAACATTAAAATTTTAAATTGTTGAGATGAATTCTTTTCTACCAACTCTAGGTGGCAGGATTGTACCAGTTTAAAAGTGTTGTAATTTAATGTTGGTACCACTGTGATTTTTTTTTAAAACAAATCATTTAACAACTGTTTAGAAGGTAGGTTTGCTTTTATGAATATTATCTTTAAAAATTTTTATTTTTGAATATTATCATTTTTAAAGATCAAAATCAAACATTTTGATTGCTGATTTCTAGGTATATATACTGTGTTCATGTGCTAAAGTCTGTAGATGTTAAAGACACTTAGAGCAGCGTAGACTTTGCATTTGCTCAGTGTGCATGTGTGGACACATTTGTCACAGTGCACATGTGGAGGTCAGAAGACACCACTTGAGAGTCAGTTTTTTCCTTTCACTGTGTGGGTTCCTGGAATTGAACTCAGGTTGCCAAGTGTGACAACACCAGCTTAGTGTAGACGTCAGATGACGTTCATTATTACCTATGATCAGACTCTTATTTTCTGATTTTTAAGGGGCAAGAAAGTTAAGTTTTCATCCTCTTTATATAGTTACTACACCCTTGTTAAAGCAACCTGATTTTGTAGTATCATTAAATTATATTAAATGTCTTACTCCGTTTTGTGCTGCTGTAACAGAGTATCACAGACTGAGTCATTTATAATGAATAGACATTTCTGTGGTTCACCATTCTAGAGGCTGGAAAGTCCAAGATCAAGGAACTGCATCTGATGAGGGCTTTCTTACTGCATCAAAAATGACGGAAGGTATCACCTGGGTGAGAGAGAGGGAACGAAAAAGAGGGCTGAAAATAATTACTATTTTATCAGAAACTGACTCGTAAAATCACTGAGCCACTCATTTAGTCTCCACTTAATCTATTTTGAAAGTCACTTCTTAAAAATTCTACTTTTCAGTACTACTGCATTGAAAATAAAGTTTCTAACACATAGATTTCGGGGGATATTTTCAGATCAAAGTAATTTATTATTGAATCATATATATAATATAATTGTATAAATATATTTGTACAAAGATAATCACCTGTAATTCTTGCACACAAAACTTCCTGGTGCTATTTTGATTGATTCTTTCAGAGTTATGTCTTTCATTCAATTTATCACTTTAAAAGTGATCTGATTTTCATGTTTTCACAGTAGAACTGAGGTTTTGTTTGCACTTGGCACTGTGCTGACGTTTGCAGTGATGGTACAGAAGTCGTGGTTGCTAAAACTGCTGGTACTTGACTGAGTCACCCAACATTACTAGCAAATCATGGCGTTCTTCACTTATCAGTTTTAACCTTAGCTTAAGTGTGATACTTTAATATATTTAATGAAGTTTGAATGTGTAAAGCAGTCCTACACATTAAAAAAGCTGTGGTTGCTTTTATGAGCAGCATTTCTGTTATGGCTTGGGTTACTAACTAAAGCACATTTTAAAAAAGAAAACCATCACATTTTATTTGAATGACAATGCTATTCAGACTTAGGTATTTTATAGACATACTCTTGAAAGAGTTTGTCAAGAAAAGCAACAAATAGTATTTGTTGCCAGTGGTAAGATGTGAACTTTCCTGAGAAATTCAAAATTTTGTAGAATTTCTTTCTGCTATGAGTTTTCCAGCTTTCTAATTTTTGACTGTTTTGGTAAGACTTATTAAAATTATGATTTAATGAAAAATGTCATCAGCAAATACATATTTTAAAATGTTGAATAATACAATATATTAATGTTTGGAAGATATATATAATTACATAACTCAGTGATAGATATTTTCCAGAGAAACAATGCATGAATGAAAGAAATCCATTTAAAGTACAAAGTAGATTACACTTTATACTTTATATACTTTAAAAAGTATATTTAATGCTGGGCGGTGGTGGCACATACCTTTAATCCCAGGACTTGGGAGGCAGAGGCAGGCGGATCTCTGGGAGTTTCAGGCCAGCCTGGTCTACAAGAGCTAGTTCCAACACAGGCTCCAATGCTACAGAGAAATCCTGTTTCAAAAAGCCAAAGAAGAAACTATTGAGGACTCTTAAACACCTTTAAACTAAAGTTACAATTTATCACACTAAAGATTAAAACCAACAAATTTTTCAAGTAGGAATTAATTCCTTTAAAAAAAATAAGAAAAGCAAGATTCTATGCAAATATAATACATTTTATGAAAATTCTTTTCCAAAATCTACCCAAAAAGTAGTAAGACTAAAACTTGAAATTTTGTAAATGTGCTTAATATCTAGCTTACTAGACATGATAGCTGCATTCTGGTATTTACTTCTGCATATCTATTGTTATCCTGTTTGGTCAAAGATAAGAAAATCTAGCTTCAGCAGTAAAGGGAAAAGGATTAAGAGATGTTGCAAGTGGAAAACATATCCATAAATACTAGCATTACTACTCAAAGTATATAAAATATAAATGCATTTTTTTTTTGTGGTTTTGGTTTTGGTTTTACTAGCTCTTGTAGACCAGGCTGGCCTTGAACTCACAGAGATCCACCTGCCTCTGCCTCCTGAGTGCTGGGATTAAAGACATGAGCCACCACTGCCCACACACTGCCTGGCAAGAGTCCTCAATAGTTTCTAAGATGGCAAAGAAGTTCTGAGATCTATATTTGCTACTGTAAAAAGTCAGTAACTAATTAGTATCATGGTATAGTGGTAATTATACTAGTGGTATACAGTTAATATAGAACCTAACTTTTGTATACATTTGCATAATATTTAACATGTAGAAGTTAGGCAGTGATTGAAGATGCTTTGGTCATTAGCCCTGTGATAATAGTTTAGTACAAGCAGCAATGAGATGCAATATAAGACAGGTAACTTATTCAAAAGTAAAGAATTTCATGTTAGTACAGTGCTTGCGGGCCATGAGGTTGATGCTAGTCTCACTAGGAAACAAAACAGATTTTGCAAAGTAAAAACTAATAAAGTAGATGCAATGGTAAAATGGGACGAGTAGTTGAAGCAAAGCAATTGAATTTCTTTTTTTCTTTAAAAAGACTTTATTTATGTGTATGAGTGTTTTGTTTTCATATATGTTAGTACACTGTACACAGTCTATGGTGAAGAGAACAGGATGTCACTTTTTCTGGAACTGGAGTTAGGGTTGGTTGTAAGCTGCCTTGTGGGTCCTGGGAATTGAACCCAGTTGCTTGGGAGAGCAACTCTTGACTGAGCCATCTCTCAGATTTCCGTTTTAAAAAGAACTCCGTGTGTGTGTGTGTGTGTGTGTGTGTGTGTGCGCGCGCGTGTGTGTGTGTGTGCGTGTGTGTGCGCGCGTGTGTGCCTGCGTGTGCGTCTGTATGTGTGTTTGCGTTTCCTATCATGAAAATGGGGAAGTTAAAGGGTAATATTGTGGAGTTGATTCTCTTTCTTCTACCTTTACATGGTTTCTAAGGATGGAACTCTGGGAGATAGGCTTTTGTTACAGGTGCTTTACCTGTTGAGCTACTTTGGTGGCTCCAGAATGCTTCATTTTCTAGAGAAGAGAATTGTATTACATTTGAAGTACATGAGAGCAGGAACCATGTGATTGTTGATCATCAATGGATTTAGTTAAGGTATTTAGCTCATAATAGATGCACATATATTCTTTAAACCATTGAATGATTGGTAGAGGGGGAAAGAAGCCAAAAGTATTATTAGTCACTGGGGGATACTGTTAGTCATTAGGTAAAAAAGTCATCAGAGAATAATGTGTCAGGACTGAGGAAGCTTATTTCATGAAGGAAAGAGTAATCACCTTGTTGGCTGTGTTGGGTATTAATGGAACAGCTGATATATGATTACTTCCCGTCTTTTCAGATTTAAAAAATGTACAGCGACTCCTACAAGTATCTGTAACCTTTGGGCATCTGAGGAAGTCTTTGGCAATCTAGATGTAGCACAGGGGTTATTGCACTTTGAGGATTTAGTAGTCCTCTTTCATAGAAATCTGTTACATTTAAATGGTTACTTTTCTTGGTTTCCTATGTTCGAGTAGATGCAGAATAATAAAAAATTGTATATAATTGGTCTATTTAAGTATTTGTAATAACCAGACTCAGGGTAGTTGGCGTTTATTTTTATGTATAATTACAGTAGCTTGTTTTCTATTACCTCAGTGAAATACACAAGGTAAGAGCTTCATAGGAGGTTAGAGCTAGGACATAGCTAGTATAGAACACTTGCGTGACTATGTGAGAGCCTAACATTAGGGGTGAGGGAAGGGAAGATATTTAGCTCAAGATCTGGAGACTGAAAATTGAAGTTTGGACAGTCACGTTTTGTGACGTGGTAATGCCTCAAGACCACTATCAACCCCTTTTGGTACCAGTGCTCAGATAGCTAATTGTTCCTCACTGGGCCTCACCTTTTAAAGTCCCCTCTACCTCTACATCCTACATTTAGGAGCACTTATCTCACATAGCAATCCTCGGGAGACCAATCACTTCCAAACCAAAGCAATTATTGTACCTTGTAAATAGGAAACATTATTAGAAAGAAAGTTTCAATATAAATCGCTTAATGGAAAAACTACTGCTTTTGCACATGTACATTGAGTTTAATTAGAATTTATTTATGTTTTAGAATTTTTCCAAGAACATTTTTGCAATTCTTCAATCTGTAAAAGCAAGAGAAGAAGGGCGTGCCCCTGAACAGCGGCCTGCTCCAAATACAGCCCCTGTGGTAAGAATCTTTTCTGCTTATGTTGTTTTAAGAAAGTGATGTTTATATTGTATTTTATCTTGTAATTTTGACATCTTAAACATTTTACAACAGTAGGGTATAAACTTGCTACTTTAGCATACTTTAAGGCTATAAAGACCCTCTCTAGTTTTAAAAGTTAACTCAGCAGTAATTTTGGGTCATTATTGATGTATACCTGGATGAGAGTCCGAAAAGGGGTTAATTAGGAAAAGCCTTCTAAGTTAATTTGTAGGTTAACTGTAGCTGGTCTATTTATTGCTTGAGAAAATTGTTAACTATTATTAAAAATCTAAATCACTACCTTCCATTTTGGACTTGTTTGAAATCTTTGGTGACCATTTTATATTGGTATATTTATTTTCCCTTGTCATCTGCCATATGGCCCATTGGTTGGACCTCAGCCTTAGCTCCTCTGCTAAGTTGACTGCCTCACTGTTTCAGGTATTGCTTAGGATCCTCCAAACCCTAAATTTATGCATGCTTTATCGTCTCCATTTAAATTAGAAAATACCCTCTAGTTTGCTGTAAATCCATTACCTGTTCTCAAGATTCAAGAAAGACAAAAAATATAACTCAAATTGATTTCACTTTTTTTGTAGAATTTGGAAAAACATTGGTAGAGTACTAAACATAGCCTTGAAAGTAATTTTATTTATGCATGGAATTATTGATACTTAATTTTTACAAATACCAAGCTTTTTTTTTTTTTAAGATTTATCTATTTATTATGTATGCAGTGTTCTGTCTGCATTTACATCTGCAGGTCAGAAGAGGGAACCAGATCTCATTACAGATGGTTGTGAGCCATCATGTGGTTGCTGGGAATTGAACTCAGGACCTCTGTTCTGAGCCATCTCTCCAGCCCCCTGAGTTGTTGATAATATTTAGACAGATACTTTTAGTTGGCTTACCACAAATAGCATCTAGTTGCTATGCAGTGTTCTGAGCATCCAGGGATAAAAGAATACAATGTCATAGTCTCTGTCCTGTTTTGAGTTCATATTGTAGTAAATTAAACCTAAATCTATGAAATGAAGTATAGTAAGTGCTGTGATGTTAAAGCATAGGATGCTTATAATAACAAATCAGACACCTGTCATAGTAATTGGTGGGAAGAATGTGAAGCCTTAAAAACAATAAACCATGGTCTTTGTAAATGTGAGTATTCTATGGTGTATTTTACAGTCATTAAAACCGTTGAAATTTTTATGTTTGGCATTTGATCATATAGATCATATGTATGATCTATAGTAGCTATAGTCTTTGATAACTTTTCTTTTGTAATGTTTGAGTGTAATCCTATTGTAACAGAATGAAGAATATATAAATAGGTATGATTTTTCCCAAGTACCTTTAAGGTGTTTTTAGGTTATTATAGACTATGAGTTTAGTAAGGAATATTTGAATTAATTTATACATAATTAGAAAGTTGCTTTTTTTAAGTTTTAAAAAACTACATCTATTGCTTTTAGAGTATACGTTTTTAAGTGTTTATTGAACATCTTTTTACTTTTGGTTTTTTGCAACAGAACTTTGTGTAGCCCTCCTGGAACTCAACTCTGTTCCGATTATCATTGTAGAGAGTATTATTTTACAGTCATTTAAGTAATTTGAGTATCTCTGCTTACCATATCATCTGCAGTTTTGGTATAAGTACATTTGAAATTGTTTGTTCTTTATTTGTCATTTTTTATAGCAAATAATATTGAAAGTGAATCCTACTCATCAAATTCCAAGTAGTCTTCTTACCTTGTTCTGTCTTTTGGCTCATGTTGGTAATAACACTTATTTTATATGTGTCTGTATCAGGCTTTACGAGTGTTAAGTAAGTAATATTTAATAATATTGACTTGCATCTCTGTTTTGTTTTAGGATCCTACTTTGCGTACAAAGCAGCCTATCCCAGCGGCCTACAACAGATATGACCAGGAGAGATTCAAAGGCAAAGAAGGTATGGATCAGCAAAGGCTTATCCTTTATGTTTGTCCCATCATTGTTGTGCTGAGCTTGAGTGGCAGTGTAGTTTGATATTTAAGAATAAGGATTCTTAAGTAACCTCTGTAGTCCAGATCTGTCTAGTTCAATCACCTCCTTTTGTAATAAAGCTTTTGTTATTGTTGTTGTAGTTTAAACACAGCCAGATTTACTCATTCATATGTGATCTACAGCTGTTTAGATTTACTCAGTCATATGTGATCTACAGCTGTTTAGATTTACTCAGTCATATGTGATCTACAGCTGTTTAGATTTACTCATTCATATGTGATCTACAGCTGTTTAGATTTACTCATTCATGTGTGATCTATAGCTGTTTAGATTTACTCATTCATGTGTGATCTACAGCTGTTTAGATTTACTCAGTCATATATGATCTATAGCTGTTTAGCTCTCACAGTTCTTTTAGGTAGTTTTGAGAGGGCATACAGCCTACAACACATGAAAAGAGTATTTGGACTCTACACAACAAAATTGGTTAACCTCTTGTTGGTAACTTTGATTCTGCATCCAGATGACTTGTGTTTCAGTTAATTTTTGTGTGGATTTAATTGTTATTTCAACTCTATTCTCTCTTACCTCATATCTATAATTAAATATTAAATAGTACTGGTAACTTATTTCATAGGGTTGCTTTGGGTATACACTTGGTACAGAAGATGAAGTTCCTAGAATAATGTCTGATAATGTAATAAACTACCCACAAATGTTTGCTATTATTGATGGTTGTTGTGGTTATAACAATTTTGGAATGGGGAATGTTGTGTGTTGAATTGTTTCCCAAACTATGAATGTGTATATTAAGAGGTAGGGGAAGCATAGAGTTGGAGCAAGTGTGAGAGCAAATTTTGTTACAGCTCCCTTGACAGTCTACCTAATGCAATTCTGAACCGTTTCTTTATTAGTGAGGTGAGACTACCACCAGTTTTTCTTGAAAATTTCATTTATTTTGATTTCACTTATGAAGACAGGAGATAGAAATACTGAAAGTTTAATGTTTACTTTTTTCCCTGTATAATCCGAAGTCTCAAGGTAATTTTTAAAAAGGCTGTATTGCTTTGATGAGTGAATTATATGTACTGACTTCATTTACCAGAGAAAGGCACATGGTGAATAGGTGCCACACAAAGATAGTAATCCAATTTTTAATTCACTGCTGTTTTCTTATGGAATGATTAAATAAAGCAATTCATAGCAAATCTAATCCTTTAAGGACCATGTATACACATATTACACATCTTGTTTCTGCTCCACAGCTACAAAATCTTAGAGTTGATACAAAGGTATTTGGTCTGTAGTCTGTAAAATATTTGCAATGTGATCTTTCCCAAGAAGACTAGAACATGCTATATGAATTTTTTAATTAAAAATATTTCTTTGGTAGTTATATAACCTAGGTGAAATTTAAACAGTGCATGTTTTGTTTTAATAATATATAGAATGTTTATATCATTCTTCCTCTGGAAAAATACTGTCAAAGTTCCAAATTGATGACCGTTAGTTGAGTGACCATAGAAAGAACCAAAACAAAAATGTGAAATAAATTGCCATGTATGTATAGAATTAAATGTTTACTTTTAACAGAGAGCGAGAGCGAGCATGTTGCATTTATGTCCTGCAACTCATTGTTTATACCACCATTTTCTAATTAATGTATAATTTGTCCCTTACATTAAACTTCAGAACAAAACTTGGTATAATTTATGAACTTTCTATTTTACATGCTTTTATAGATACAATCATTTAGTAGTTACTAAAAATAAAGGGCTTAAAAGCTTTTTATTTAGTGTGATTTAAGCTCTATTTCATTTTTATGCATATGGATATTTTGCCTATGTGTATGTCTATGTACCACACATGTCCCTGGTGTCCATAACGCCAGAAGAGGGTATCAGATTCCCCGAAACTGAAGTTAAATGCAGTTGTAGGAGGATTGTGTGCTGGGAATTGAACCTGGGTCTTTTGTATAAGTAGCTAATGTTGATTCTTCTTTTTAGCTCTTTCTTTAGTGTGGTTTTCAAATTAAATTTGAAAAATAATCTTAATCAAATTCTATGAAGTCAATGCTTTGTCATTTATTGAATAAATTTTGCAACTAGTGTCTCAAAAGTTTTTAATTTTTAGGATATGTGATAAAACTGTGTATAGTATATTTAAGTAAGGCCTTATTACAATGTTGAATTGTTAGGTGTAATGTAAATTATGGTTGAAATTTTTTTCTGTGTGTAAAGAAATACATAAATCATAGTAAGTTCTTTTCTTTGCAGAAACGGAAGGCTTTAAGATTGATACTATGGGCACATACCATGGCATGACACTGAAATCTGTAACGGTAAGTTTTTATGACTGCAGAGGTTATTTGTTCCAGGTGTTTTATGTGAGTAGCAGATGGTAAATTTTTATTCTCTACCATTTTCTAATTGAAACATTTATTTTTTAGTGACCGTTGTAGTACTGATAGGTCTGTGTGATATTATTTGATTCATGAGTGTTTTCCCTTTTTTTTTTTCTGATCAGATTTTGAATTTATAAGTGTCTTGACTAGTTTGAAACTTGGGATGTTTAAAGCCATTGAGTTGAAGGTCATATGGGACCCCCCCCCCCCCCTTTTTGGTCGAATATCTTTTGTTCTTTCAAATGTAATTGTCTTTGGAAAAATAAGAATGGGACTGGATCTGTTCAGTGATAGAGCCGTTGCTGAGACTGCTCAGTGGCATGGGATCTGTCTTCAGATCAGTTAAATGAGTAAACAGAGTGTAATAGTTGATGGAGTACTTTTTTTTTTTTTTTGAGACAGGGTTTCTCCGTAGCTTTTGGTTCCTGTCCTGGAACTAGCTCTTGTAGACCAGGCTGGCCTTGAACTCACAGAGATCCGCCTGCCTCTGCCTCCCGAGTGCTGGGATTAAAGGCATGCCCCACCACTGCCAGGCTTTGATGGAGTACTTTTACAGACACTTATTGGAACCAAATATTTATATATTCATGAATATAAGTCTTTGGTTCAAAGATTTTCAGTTAGCTCATTTGTTTTATCCCCTTCTTTTCTTTCCCTTCCCTTCTCTGTTTGTTCCTCTCTCCTTCCCTCCCTTACCCCTCCCTTCCTGCCTTTCTTCCCTCTTTCGCCTTTCTTGCTCTTGGCCCCCAAGCTCTCTTTCTTGCTTTTGCCATGTTGTTTTAAAATTGGACTTAGAAGTTCTGGGGTCCAGGAATCTTTTTTTCTCCATTTCCTGAGTAGGCTCTCTAATTTTATTTTTTTAAAGCTATTCCATAACTAAAATAGCCTGGCCAGAAATAGCCTGACTAACTTCTTTCTGTTTAACACTTTTCATTGTTGTGTAGCAAATGACAGTATTTTATGATGTAGGTAAGGTATACTTTTAATTCTATTTTGCATTTGTATGTTTTGATGCATGCATCTTATACTTTAAAATACTATGCGTATGCATCGGCTATATACTTAAGACCTAAGACTGTTGCTTTTGTCTTTGCTTGTGGGTCATCAGATATTTACACACCTCAGATGACATGATAATATATTTGTTGTGATTTCTGAGTTCAGGTTTAATTTTATACTTAGAATTCGCCATAAATCTATGAAGTTTTGGTTTTTTAAATTTCAAATTGATACTCTATCAAGTATTTTGCTAATATGTCTTTAAATGGCCGATTTGTTTTTGTGTCTTTGAAATTGTCTGTAGGCTTACAGATTCATTCAGCAAGTATTTATTGAGCACTTGTGTTATGTCTTTGACCCTGAATACTACAGGTGTAACCGCTTCTGAAGGTAGTCAAAGAGGCCTCTCTCTGAGGTCAAAGTCCTGCCAGAAGAGCATTCCCCAAAGGAACAACAGGGTTAAAAATGGACTCAGTAGACAGTGATAAGAAGGCCAGTGTTTTCCAGTTTAGTGAGCAAGAGCAAAAGTGGTAAAAGATCAGATATCTTATGTCATTTGTTTGGTTGTTTCTGATTTTAGAATTTAATTAATTGTGGTAAGGTTTAACTGAAATTGATTATTTTGTTCTTTGTTTATGTTTATATTTTTAAAAGACAGGGTCTCAACTTTGTGGCTTTAGTTGTTCTGAAACTCACTATGTAGATCAGGCTGACCTTGAACAGAAATCCACCTAGCTTTGCCTCCCTAGTGCTTGTACCACTAAAAGCATATGCCACCATGCTTGGTTTGAATTAAATTTCTGTGTGATTCAGTTAGTTGATGTTTCTTGGACACAGTGTTTGTTGCTAATTTCCAAAGTAAATTGCCAGGGAACTGAAGTTACTCTTAGGTAACCATTAAAAATTAGGTTTTTTTGTTAAAGGTTTTTTCTTACTCATGGCTCTGAGTGCCATGGAATTTGTTTTTTAATATGAGCTTCTAAATATAAAATATGAATTTAAATAAATTTATGCTGTAGGCATTTAAACACAATAAAATAATCATAAAAAAGGATTGCTTAGGAACGCAACAAAAAAACTAAACGTGGTCAGATGTCTGTCTAATTTCATTACTTCAGTAACCAGAACTGCTACTTTTCATATGCTGATTATTTGCTTGAATTAAAATACATAGACAAGGAATGTTTTTTAGATAAGTTTATTTTTAGTTATTCCTCAAACTTATCCTTAGAATTTTTCCCTTCTCTTATGTTTTGTTTTGTTTTTGTTTTTTTGGTTTTTTAGAGACAGGGTTTCTCTGTGGCTTTTTAGAGCCTGTCCTGGAACTAGCTCTGTAGACCAGACTGGTCTCGAACTCACAGAGATCCGCTTGCCTCTGCCTCCTGAGTGCTGGGATTAAAGGCCTTCTCTTTTGTTTTGAAATTATCATTTGTGAGCTGCAACAGCTTCTTACCTCATTCTACTCTTCAGAAAATTTCTCTTGTACTATCAAGACAGGCAAATGTATATTAATGTAAAAGCTTTTGTTGCTCACAAGTGATTTCCCTGCTTTTATATGTATAATTCATAGTTGCCAATGTTCTTAAAATTTTTAATGTGCCTAGTTCACATAGTTCCCAAAATTAGGGTTTATGTGCATTAGAATTAATCTTTGTAATTTTTTAAAATATTTATTTATTCCAAAAAAAATATTTATTTATTATGTATACAATATTCTGTCTGTGTATATGCCTGAAGGCCAGAAGAGGGCACCAGACCCCATTACAGATGGTTGTGAGCCACCATGTGGTTGTTGGGAATTGAACTCAGGACCTTTGGAAGAGCAGGCAATGCTCTTAACCTCTGAGCCATCTCTCCAGCCCCAATCTTTGTAATTTTTAACTTCAGTATCAGAATAGAATCTTCTTGATACATGAATAGATCAGTACATTAATAATTTTTATACAATTTATTTTTTTCTGTATGTGTTAGGTGTTTTACTATATGTGTTGTGTTTTACTGGTCAGTTCCTAAGTCTAAGTTACTGAAACTTGTATGACTAAAAGTCCTGCAAGTGTTCGATAATAAATATCTAAAATATTAAGGAGTGAGAGAGATGATTCAGTGGTTAAGAACACTTGCAGCTCTTCCCAAGGAGCCAAGTTGGTTCCTAACACAACTCACAACAAACAATTTACAGAAGCTCGTTGGACACAAAAGCATGTACTTCCTGGTTCAGAAGATCCAAGGACTCTGGGGACCTGCACTTATTGTCTGTATTGTGTTAATCATGTCTTAAATAAATGCTGATTAGCCAGGCCGGAAGTATAGGCGGGTCAACCAGACAGGAAGTAGAGGTGGGGCGATGAGAACAGGCATATTCTGGGAAGCAGGAAGCTCTCTCCTCAGTCCTGCCCAGACCATGGAAGAAGCAAGATGTAATCTGCCTGGCTGAGAAAGGTACCGAGCTATGTAGCTAACGTAGATAAGAATAATGGGTTAATATAAGCTACAAGATCTAATAAGAAGACTGAGCTAATGGGCCAATCAATTTTATAACTTATGGAGATCTCTGTGTGATTTTCTTGGGGGCTTGCCGGCTGTGGGATACCGAGCAAGACCGAAACCCCAACAAGCAGGCCCCTTCATGTTACAGATGCACTTGAACTTTCTTTCTTAACACCTTTAATACCCAAATCTGTGTAGAGAATTCAGCTAACCTTTTCTTTTCTTGAGGTGAGGAATCTCACTTTATTTATTTTTATTGTATCTTGGTATCACTTTTTAAAAACAAAATTTCACTATGTAGCCTTGTTTGGCTTAGGATTTGGTATATGGACCAGGGTAACCTCAAACTCATAAATTATTCACCTGCCTCTGCTTTATGAGTGCTGGGATTAAAGGCATGAGCCATGTGCCTAAAGGGATCTCACTTCGTAGATCACCTAGCCTTTTATTTTATGTGAGGGGAACTCCATCTGTCTTTTCCTCGACATATATGGGGTTCAGGTACACATTGCTTCACCTAGCTTCTGTTTAAACTTTGACTTAGATAGCTAAGGAATATGTTTGACATTTAATGGTTCCAGAGTCCCAAGGAGCATAATTGTTTTCAGAACTTATCTTAGATGGAATTTTGCTTCAAGATAAGTTCCCAAGATTCATTCTTTCTTTTTTAAAAAATTCTATTATCTATGGATCTATTGATCGATCTGATCTAATCTAATCTAATCTAATCTAGATATTGTGTGTCTTTGTCCATAGAGGTTATCCGAGGCTATTGGATTGATAAGTCTTGTAACTGGAGCTACAGACATATGTGAGCTGCTATGTGGGTGCTGGGAATCGAACATGTGTCCTCTGGAAGAGCATCCAGTGATCTTAACCACTGAGCCATCTCTCAAAACTGTCCCCAGCATTTTTTAATGTTCTAAGAAACCTTATATCAAATAGTTTCTGTGATAGAGGAATGTGAATGTTTTTTAACATGCGGTTATTGAAGAAAAGAGACTTCATTGGTGGTTTTCTCTTTACTCACTTATGATGGGAATATTCTTAGAAAGAACTAATATTACACAGAATTTATTTAAATAAAACTAGCTTAAAGTTATGGGTTGGAAGTAGAAACTTATTGAAGAAAATTCTTCATATAGTTCATATATTAGTGTTTTGGTTTAGTAGTAATAGTGAGAGTATATGAAGTTTAAATTTAAAAGCCATTTTAGTTATGTTTCATATGTTTTTGTAGTATATATAATTTGTTAATGGATCATCACAGATTAAGAAAATGTCATTTGAGTGTATGTAGTGCTGTGCATCAATATTCTGAATGCTTGGGATGCAGAAACAGGAGGATCGCTGTAAACTTGAGATCAGCCTGTCTATCTAGTTCTAGGCCAGCCAGAGTGTGAAACTCTCTCCACTACCATCCTAAAAAACAGAAAGAAAGTATTACTTGG